GGGGGGGGCAAGATGGACATAGGCAAAGATGTGACATCGGTGGTCAATTGGTTAGTAGATAGGTTATCGGACTCGGTACTGTTGTGTTGCGGGTTCGAAATGCGTTCTACGAGGACGTTGTGTCTGTGGGAAAAACATAATTAGGACATAGTTTCCTTTTTTCACCCAGGCGGGAATGGCTACCCGGTTACAACAGTGAAAAGTCTTGTCAGTGTGTTCATGTTTGAGCTTCTTGCGGCCTGCAGTGAGTGTTTTCAGGAATGTAACGTCGTGGAATGTTACAGCATCTGTCGGGGTAATAATGTATTGTAAAGCGCACACAGCATACTTTCTAACAGGGATATGCGCGTTTCTAGCTTTTCTGGTTGGTCTGACCTTTCTTCTTTTGTTCTGTGTTGCCATTATTCGAATGTTCTTAAAAAAAATAAAGCTGTTGCTCAACTCCTGCTTGTATTTCCCGTGGGTGGTTAGAGGGCGCCGCTGATAGGTCCTACTTCTTTATTTTCTCTCTGTTGTTTCTGTCTGTCTTACTTTATCCCCTGCACTAAATGACCATTATTGCTTCTATGTGCTTCCCAAATTTATTATTTAAAATAAAGATTGTTTTCCGAGCCTTGTTTGGCAGTCTCTGAAAAAAAAGACCCGCGGAGGGCGCCTGACGGTTGTAGATTCTGCGTCTTTTCTTTTCCAATGTTGTATCTGTCTCTATCTATCTTACTCCCTGCCTTTTAATGACTATTATATATAGGACGTATCGATGTGTTTTTCATTTAGTGAGAATACATTTTAAAGTTTAACGCCATTCTAGACCCCCTGTTGGTTATTTCAAAAGTCAACATACTGAGAGGAAACAACATTACAAACACGGTGAGAGTGAAAGATATAATATGAACCCGAGATGGCAGACTACCGAACTGCGACTGTACTGTCTGTGATACGCGTTGTGTTAGCTCAGACGAACGTCTGATTAATTGAGAAGGAGCGTGTGGGTAGACTGCCCGTGTTGAGTCGCCGAATTAGTGGATAGGATTGAGAACACACACAACGCACACACACACACACACACACACACACACCCTTAATAGTTCGTGAGATGTGGTCTTTCCCGTCTAC